CCTCATTAATGATGAATCCACCTACAATTTCATTAGTGAATGCATTGCTAATTGGTTGCAACTCCAATAATACCAACCAAGTCATTTAATGTGAATGTGGCAAATAGAAAGATATTGAAGTGTTAAAGAAGATTTAAAAACCTTCATATTTTGCTCCAAGGTGTCCTATTAACCCTTACTTTTTATATTTTACCACTTAGTAGGTCGGATGTCGTTTTAGGAGTCTAAGTGTTAGAACAATTAAGAATAGTGACTTCTGATTGAGACAAAATAACAATAGAATTTCAATGGAATAATTAAGTCCAAACACTGCAATAAGTAGATATTCAACTCATTCAACTAGCATTTGTAAAGGTGGTGATAAAAAAATTTATGTTAAAGAAATTCCATGTTTGTTATTTATTTACTAAATAAGACAAGGTTGTAAAAAAAAGTTGAATAAGATACGCAAACCTTATCGATAATAAACAATTTTTAAATGGGCATTTTAGAAATTAGTCCCTATTAGATTGAACAAAGAATTGGTAAGGTAGCATATGAACTCAAGCTTCTCAAAGGGCCTCGCATCCATTTGGTCTTCTATGTTTTATTGCTAAAAAAAACTAGGAGACTTCATCCTTACAACTGATGAGCTATCTCCTATTAATGATGATGGAGAAATTCTTCTATAGCCTGAAGTTGCCTTTCAAACGTGATGGATTAAGAAATAATTAAAATCTATCAAGAAAAGTCTGGTCAACTACAAACAACTTCAGTAGATAATGCAACTTGGAAAAATGCTTAAGAACAACAAAAGAGTTTTATTAACTTAAACATTAAGGAGAAGGTTCTTTTTATTGGGGGAAGTATTGATAACCTTAAAAGATCCCAATATGTGTCCATTAAAAACCTTAGATTCATGAAACTGAATGCAACAACTTTGAAGGAGAATGAAACTGCCTTGGACATGCATATACACGAAGAAGAAAGAAACTAATTGAATGTGCATACACACGAAAGAAAGGAACTATTGAATGTGCACAGGAGAACGTGGAAGCACTAAAATTGTTTGGTCGTGCGTGCACATGAAGGAGAGGAACTACTGAACACATATGAGGGAAAACATGGACGTAGTGCTATGTTCTTTTTTTTTTTCTTTCAAATGAATATGTTATTTTCTTTTGTATATATACATCATAGCATTTGATAGTAATAAAATTTGACATTCATGAACAAATTTTAGTTATTCTTTCTCACTAGAAGTAAAAAACTTTATTAAAAAATCTACAACTTTGATTGCGACCTATCACAAAATGAACGGAAGAGAACAAGAAATCTCGTAGGGGCAATCAAATAGATGAAATCTTGCTTTTGAGATATGAATCGCTTCATTCTTAAAAATATTTGTATTGATTTAAAATGTGTTGAATAATAATAACAAAACTTCTTATTTATTTACTGACATGAGTGGAACTACGCAAATTGTATAAGTTCTTTATTTCATTTATGTTTTTTAAAAATTAAAAAAAAAACAAGAATGAAACATTAAACATCTAAGTAGATTTGAATTTGTTAGTTTATAATTTTTTAAACTTAATACTAATTTAGTTTATGACATTTGTATGACTTAATATTGTTTTGTAGAAATGATGATGTGATTACATAGAATTATTTGGATAACTGGATTTGTGTGTGAGTGATTTGAACATTGAATATGTTGAAGTACTAAAAACTATTAAGATTTTGAATAACTAGGGTTTGCTTAATCTCATATTGCAATTATAATTGTCTTGGCATTGTGTTCAATTTTTATATATCTTTTGTTATGATTGGGCATAACCTTGCCTTTCGGGAGTAATGTCTTTGAAAAGAGAAGATGATCGTGGACAAAGAGAAGTACGAAGAAGAAAGAACTCCAAAGATATCATTTTGAAAAAAAAGAGGTGAAAATTTTAAACAAAAAAAAAAAAAAAACTCTCAAGTTATCATTATCTTTCTTTCATTTTTGGATTTATGTGGCAGTGAATGATTTTTATTTATTTTAAATATATAATTGATAATGAATGTCATAATCACACATGTAATAAAATTAGGTCAAAAGTAATTACCATATACTACTAAAAATGATGTCTCGTGATTTCATGTTTTGTTTTATTCATAAATTTAAGATTTTTGTTTTGGCTTGAATTTATTTTACATATTTGATTTATTTCTGATAGGTTCAATATTAGTTTCGTCTCTCCAATTCATTTGAAATCAAATTTGTTATAATTTTTTGAACATCTCATTCTTTCGATTGTGAAATGTATTCAAATTTTTATTTTATCTTAGTTGATTTGGGTATATGGCCTAGCATTGGAAGAAGATATAAGGCCTTCCTAATGGGACACTTATTTGAATATTTTTTGTTCTCTTACTTTTTTTTGTTCTCTTTACATGCAATTAATTTTTTGTAATTTAATTAACAACATAGTACTGTGTGTTTATGATTAATATTAAGACATAAAATTTGACCCACACGATTAAGTATTATCATATAAAATTTGATTTCAATCATAGTTAAATCACCCATACAAGATGACAATAGGGAAAAAAAAAAAAAAAACCCTAATAATTAAGGGCTCATGTGTAAATGAAATTACCAAATATTCTATCTTCAATTGAGCTCTAAAGTGTTCTCTATTATTAGACTCAATATAAACTATTCCAGTATATCAATCAAAACATCTTTTAATTAACATTTGAGTTAAATTAAGGATCTACTTCAGCATTATAAATAAGCATTAATCATTCATCCCATAGAGTAATTAACTACTAATTTATGTATCCCAATTCCAAAGTGATTAATTAAACACTTTAGTTAGTTAATTTTTTAATTCTAACTTGATCTAAATCTTGGTTTAACTCTTTAATTAATTTTATTATTCTAAAATTATAACATCCTTATTTAACATTTAAAATCAGTTCAAATATAATATCTCATTTTTCACTCCAAAGCTTGAGAAAGATTTATTAAATTGACGTGTGAGAGACATTATGTGTAATCATCTAATTAAAAATAAATTTAGAGTAAGTTATTTTAGACTTATTATTCTTTAACAGCATGGTGAATACTTTCATTTGTTTACAAAAAATGTGTTCAAGTCGTGGTGCACCTCTTATGTGACTATGATAAGATTATGTTATGTATGTTAGCGGTAGAAGATTGTATAGTGTCACTTAATTAATAAAATATATAAATTTTTAATTAAAATAAATAATAAAAACTTATGTTAGTAACATAATCAAATAAATTTTATTTATTAATTATATTGAAAAAATAAATCACATTTAACATTTAATAATATCTCGTCAGCTACACGTATCATGATTTCGAAATAATTTTTCAAAAAAAAAAAAAAGACTTTCATCAATAATTTATATAGAAGTCTCTCTATCTATTTATTGTATTCTAAAAAGACCTATATTATATGTAGTGTCAAACCCTATTAATCAATACTAATAATAATTGAGTAACATTTATGTAAGTTATATTTAACAGAAATTCATTTCTTTTTTTATTATTATATTTATGGATTTTTATTATCATTTGCTAATATTAATCATTTAATTATAAAATTTTATAAAATATGTTTGAATTAAGATTAAAAATAAAATTAAATCGTAATATCTGATTTTTGATGGATTATAACTCACGTACAGTAGTATTGAATTATATTGTTATTAAATCAAATATTCAGATAAGATAGCTTAAAATTTTGAAATAGAAATATGACAAGAATTAATCTAGGGAATGGGGAGCATGAGGCTAAGGAGGATTGGTTAAAAATTAAAGAGGGGAGGTGGGTGTAGACAAGTGCATCTAGAGGACAAACAAGAGAAGTGACTGTCTGTATGCCTGTAGTACACTGGCAGTGACATTGAGAGGAAGACTTTGGTAAGTGTTCCTTGATACATGATTTGCATCTGGGATGCCAGAGCTTTTAGGGCACCAGTGCGGCTGATAGAATGGTCCCCTTGAGGCCTTGTCCCTTCCTTCCCATCCTCATCAACCTGTAATTACATAATTTACTTACCCAAAAGCCTACTAAAATACAACCTAAAGGATTATCGCATGGCAATTAATAGGTCCATTTTTGTGTTTGTCTGATTTCACACACCCACAAAATTTACCCTCTTCACGTCCCCTTTCTTTCATATATTCAATATTGTCTTTTTTTTTTTAAATCACAAGCCATACAAGGTCTTCAACCACCATCTAAACTGCACTCTTTAGACCCATATTAGTTCTTAACTTCCAATTTCTCTAAAATGTTTCTTCAGACATACCTCCAATAAATTAATTTTTATTATTTTTTTATTTAGTGTTTATATTATCTTCAACTAATTTTAGAAGCTTTATCTAAAAAAATAATAATAACTTAAAAACTCTAAATAAGTTATGGAACATGCTAACCCTGCAGGGTTCTATGTTAATAATTATACACACCAACTATTTTTATCTATCAATATAAAACCCTATTTTGGTATTTTATTTAGTACAAATTTTTAAATGACTGTTGAACTTGAATATTTTAAATTAATATTTAAAAATAGAAAGGGACAATTAAACAAACCACTTTCCAAGTCACTCCCTCATTGCAGTCACCATTAAAAATCCCTCAGACCTTGTTTGTTCTATCTTTTTTTCGCTTTTTGGTCAAACGCATTTCGGTGCAGATACATTACATTAATTCTGCACACACGAATTAATGAAGTAAATCTTAATTCGCGTAAGTTCCAAGTTATAACCAAATCTATCTTCCATCTAATACTAGGGATAAATAATAAGAAGTAAAATTATAATCTTTATGTAACTTCGAAATTACAGTTTTTGAGTATTTGTATGAAATCATTAAATTCTTCCGTAGCCCATGAAACCACATTAGATCTGGAACTAAACTTTCAAATTTTACTCGGCTCAATTGCTCGGTTAGTATGTTATAAGAACAAGTAAAAATCAATTTAAAATAGAATGAGCATTACATCAGATGGACCATTAAGATTAATACCTTAGTGCAACATAAATAAGCAAGCATAGAATCCGCTTTGCCTTGTCAAATGAACAACGAAAGAGATAAAGGGTTCGTTAGCTCTAAATAATCTGTCTACTTATACACATGCCTAAGCCCAGGAAAAAACAGTACCTCCCTACAAAAATTATATTACAAATATTTGATTCAGCCGCCTGCAGCTTTCACTCATGGGCATTATTATTAGCACCTAAGGAGAGTAAAATGAGGCTTCCAAATAGATCTAAGCCAAAAACTACTAACCAAAGATTAATATTACAACATCGTTTGTGCGACAAGATCAGAGAAAAGGGGATGAATTGCTACCTAAAGTTAAATCTACAATTGTTTGTAACTTCTTGAAGGCATGAAATTAGTGCTTCGTGAATGCAACATTTCGTAGAGGTCTCCAGCTGTTGGACGATCAGTTGGATTTTTTTGGGTGCAACGTCTGAATACATCTATAAGAAATCTAAGTGTCTCTACATCTGCCTCTGATAAGTCAAGGTTTGTTCTAACTTTAACGGCTGCGTGTTCATCCAAAGACCCCAAAGCCTCTAATTCATCTGTTAGTCGTGGCCGTTTCCCTATCTGCTTAGAAATAAGCAATCAGTAATACATCCAAGACAACTATGCTCCACCTAGAATATTGACTACAAATAAGCTTGATGAGGTGGTGTCAATTAACAATAGAAATAAATCTCCTGCTACAGCCAAACAACCACAGTGCCAATTGAATTATCATGCAAGGAGAAGAAGTACATCACTATCTCATTCCTGGGGATGTAATTACATCCTTTTCTCACATCATTCCTTCCTGCTGTAAGTTTAACTAGTTTTTACAAGATTTTCTTTATTCCCCTAAAAGCCAAAGGCAAGATTTTCTTTATTCCTTTCAAAAGCCAAATGGCATCTGCGCTTAGTTATATAATCCTCGAAAAATTCCAAATAAATCCAAACAAATAAATTTTTAAAATGAACAGAAAAAATGATTGAATACCACGATGCAACAAAAACATTTTCCAGATAGAATTAGAATGAATTAAATCTTTGATATGTCCAAAATATTCATAATTCATACATCTGATATATAATTAAATCAATTTCATTCATGATATGTCAAAAATAGTCATGGTTTTGAACCAAAATGATTGAATATCATGATGAACAAACTGAATGTTGTCGCCAATCCCTGCAATAATGGATTGAATTTTGCTTCTTTTTTTCTCTATCCTAAACTCTATTTAGCACACACTCCCATTGACTGAGTGCTAATCTACGCATTTATAGTAGCAAAAACCCTGAAATTATTGTTGTTGCCAATCCCCGCAACTTTAGATTGAATTTTTTCTCTTCTTTTATAGTTGTAATCCCTACTCTGCTGTGATACATCACATAAACGCACACACATAAAGAGAAGGCGATAGAGATTTACCTGAAGAAGCTCATGAATGTGTAATTCAGACAAGCCAGAATATGGAACTTGAAGAGTCAACAATTCAAATAGTAGGCATCCATACGACCAGATATCCACTTCCTGTGTTATTTAAGAAATAAAAGTCAGAATCAAAGAAGCAGCAGTTAGCAACATGTAAAGAAAAGGAGAATAAATCATGAAAAAACAGGTGAACTGAAGAACCACCACATATGTAGATTTTCAACAACTCTACCAAAGTACAAATTATACATAAAAAAGAATAGCGAACTTAACAAAGACTGCGCTATCAGCACTAAATAAGAAGGTGATAACAAAAGAGGATGATCTGAGACAGGTACCACTGCAACAATTAGGAAGATGAAAGGAAAAGAAGATGATATAGGATTATTCTTTGCAGTGTAGGAAATTTAAGATAGCTTCTAGAGCAAAAAAACAATATGATAAAGTAGAATAGAATAGAACTTCAGAGGACTGAACAAAGAAAAAAACTATACATATTTTTGGAATGTACAAATTTTGGACATAATATATAATTTCTCAAGTATCCTTACATTACTTTTAATCTTTATCGTGATGTAGAAAATTTACAGGTGTCTGGCGCACAAAGAGGAGAGGACAAATAGAATAAAACCGAACTACAGAAGACTTAACAAGGAAAAATAACATGCTTCGAAAGGCATAAATTTTGATGCATAACATAACTCAAATACTATTTCATACTTCTAAATTTATTAAAATTTAAGTTATAAACTTAATTTCTTTGCAATTAACTATATATTAATTATTCATTATTGAGTAGAAAAATTATTTTAATAAATGTATAAATTTTTAAAATAAGAATAAATTTAACAGAATGAAAAAATTGAAGTCAAATTTTAGAGCTTTCAACCCCTAAGATGATGATTAGTCAATAGGAGTATTGACAAAAATCCGCATTGGCCCCCAATTGGAAAACAAATTCCAATTTCGTTAAATAATTTTAGAGCAGGATAAAAGACATTTTCCCACCATTTTGTAACCAAAAAAAAAAAAATTCTACTTTCAATCTCTCCCTTTTGGTAATATAAAAGGCATGATGTCTACTAGATTCTTGGAAATGATTAAAAATTAAAAAAAAAATGCACATCAGTTCTAACCTTTAAGATTCTTGTTTTTTTATGTAACAAATTTACTTCATTACTCATTTCATATCTACTTAAATTAACAGCATATACAATAATGAAAATTTAAACTTTTGTAATAAATATATATTTTTATCAATTTTAATTAAAATTTAATCTCATTTTTGCAATCAGCATTTTATTCAATCATGCAACTGATTTTTTTTAAATAACAATTTTTCTGCTATAAGTCACTTCAAGCATCCTGCTGCATTGAATAACTTTACACTGCTGCTTTGAGTAACTTAAACCAAGACATTTCTTTAAACAATTCAAACATCCTCTCTAAGTTCCTATATTTTTCTATGGCACCAAATGCTACATAATTAATGAAACTGGAATGCATTTCCATGAAGATTTACAATATACTTAAAACTTCCTCTTTTAATTTGTCTCATATTAGATGGGAAGACAAGGACATACCAGCATTATCATTTGTATCCTGTTTATTGCACAATGCATTAAGTGGAACTATAGCATGCTTTCCATGGAACGAAAAATAATTTGAAACATCTGCATGAATTGGTTTTAAGGGGGAGAAAAAAATCTTACCAAACCATATCTACTATGTGTATGCATTGCCTGCAGAACCTCTGGTGCCATCCATCGGGGAGTTCCAACACAAACATCAGGACGAGGTATTCCTGCATGAGCAATACAGCATGTATGCAAGAAGGACCGAAGTGGCACTGCTCTATCAAAATCACAAAGTTTCACAATAGGTGCTCCATCGGCTCTCTTCTCATCTAAATCAATCAGGATGTTTTCACTTTTTACGTCACGATGAATAATGTGTTTCGAATGAAGCTCAGATAATGCACTCGCAACATCCTGTGCAATCCAAAGTGCCAAATCCATTGGCAGATGCTTTTCACCAGCTTTGGAAAGCTTCTCTATATGACTCTGTCATAAAAAAGGTATATGCCGAGGTTGAATGAAAATGCTAATAAACAAACTAACTAACTAAGTTAATCTTTCCAAAAAAAAAGTAAAAGATACCTTTAAAGATCCCCCGTTCACATACTCCATCAAAATTGCAGATTGTAATACACGATGCTCAACATTACCATCAGCTGAAGGAACCCATTTGGAAGATATCTGGTGTCCGTACAGTTCCACAATGCAGGAGTGTTTCAAAGCACCTAAAATCCTAACTTCTCCCAAGCAATTGTATTCAAAATCCCTAACTTCCTCCGATGAAGTCCCACACACTTCCAATGTTCGCACCTACAGCATCAAATGTAACAGACAGACCAACTCTTAAGAAATTTTTTATATGACTTCAACATAATGTATAAAACTAACGAGAATGAAAACAATGTTGTTTAACAATTTAAAATATATATATAATTTCTCTTCCTCTTCTAGCCAAGGGGTGTTGATCATGGATCTGAATTTGAATGACTACAAGATTGATGAACATGTCAGAGTCCTTCGGCCCCTTACCCACTGCAGTTTCCAACTAAATGATAATGATAAACCCATTTGAAAGTTCGGCACTAGTGGTTCCTTCACTGTGAAATCTTTCTATATGGACCTTCGCTCATTTGAATAGCAATCTCCTTCAGCCCCTTACCCACTGCAGTGTCCAACTAAATGGTAATAATAAACCAGTTTGAAAGTTGGGGACTAGTGGTTCCTTCAATGTAAAACTCTCTATATGTACCTTTGCCCATTTTGGCTCGCCCATGCAGTGACTACCCTGGAAGCTTATCTAGAAGCTTAAAGCATATCCTAGAATTACCTTCTTTGCTTAGGAAGCAATAAGAATGAAGGATTCTCACTATCAACAATCCCTGAAAGAGGGAGAAGATTCTAGTTGATGGCTGCTACTTGTGTATGAGGGAAGCTAAACCATCCTTTGTGGCGTCCTTTCTCCTTCCAGCTTTGATACAAAACCCTTTATGAGTTCCTTGGTGTTAATTGGGTGATGGCAGGTCTTGTGGCTACTGAAATTTGGGTTCTGGATCTCTAAAGTGAAAAAAAAAAAAAAAAAGTCATCTTTCTTATCTCCTTGACTACCTTATGTATCATTTGGAAGGAGAGAAATAGAAAAGCTTTTGAAGGCTCTGTTTTTCCCTTTAAAGACTTACGGTGCCAGATGTTTGGTTTCTTTCTTAAGGTCATCCTTCTACTTTAGATGAGGACTTGGGACACCTCATATATCTTTTGACTAATTTGTAAACTCTTTTACACTTGGGCAGTACCCTCTTTTGTACTTCAGATAATGTCCATATCTTTTTCTGAAATAACAGATAATGTCCATATCTGCTTTTCTTTCAGGAAAAAAGAACTAACAGCAGTAGTAGCATCTATAAATTCATCAAAAAGCTAATGCAGGCAACATCAATTGACTACCGGAGTATTATATCTCCAGTGAGGTAATCACCTAAGACTAACAAGACCATTCAAGGAACAAACCTTTGCTGCAGCTTCAAGAGAACCAACTTTGCATCGAATAAGGGAACTAGAAGCTGCTCTTAAAGTTTCATCACAGGCAGAAAGAGAAGGAAAATAGCATCCAGGATCAAGACTGCTTTTAGCTGCAATGGAGGCATTAACTCTTGTAAGGGGGATGTACCTGCCACAAGTAGCATTTATTATTGCAAAATAAACACAAACCAAAGAACTACTATCACATATTAGTATCAAATCCTTTTCAAGAAATATGAAAGATAAATTATAAATGAGCCCCTAACTTTCGAGCCTAATTACAATCAGGTCCAGCAGTTAGAAAAATTCATAATCTAGTCCTATTTTTAAAACAAACAATACCACCCAATCCACTGAACCAATTCTATACATCAAGATTGTAGTCAATGCACAAATCAATCTTTTTTGCAAAAGGACATATGAGAAATTTCTATAAGAAATAAAATATGTGAATCTTAAAGAAGATTTAAAAAAAAAAAAAAACCCTGACCAAAATTAGAAAGAAAGAGTTTGACTAATCAAGCTTTCTTCCATCACAGTTCTCCAAGCTCTCTTACAAATTTTTGTCAAGATTCAAATTTCTTCAAAATGTAATGTTTTTTCTTCTTCCAGATAAGTTCATCATTTATTCTCTTGAGAAAAAAAGAGTGATTTATGTTTTAACTGTGATTTCAATAAGTCACTGGACTGAGCTGTCACACTTCCTCAAAATGTAAGGACTAGATTATAATTTTTTAAGCCAACGGACAGAGTTATAATTAGGCCAATAACACAGGAACGTCCCTATAATTTACCCAAATATGAATGTGATAGCTCGACAATAGAGATGGAAGTAGAATGTTTTCTAGACCACAAAAAAACAATTCATAACTTGACCACCAAAAGGACTGGATTAACTGGCATGTAATCTGCAATAAAAAACAAAGCAAAAATAATACTGGGGCACATACACAGTCTTAGCAAGATGAGCAATTTTACAAAGTCTCAGTTGTTAAAAGGGAAAAAAATAACTCAGCTGTTTATACAATAAAACCAACAGAGCTCCAATACTTCAGTTAAGGCAAGAGCATCATGACACAAAATCAAACCACGTGCAATGTTGCATGATAAGACATACTCAACACAAAAACATAGAACCCAAGGATATTAGCAACAAAGAGAGTATTATGACCACTTTTAATAAAATTATTCACCTGCAAAGATATTCAATATCTTCCTCTTCCCTAATGTCATGAGGACGACAGGCATCGACTATCATACGAACCCATGAATCACCTCGTTTGATAGGAATAATATTCCAGGCATGCGGCAAGAAATCCAGGTAACCCCTAACAAGTTCGCAAGGTAGTGGAGGCTCCATCCGGTCACATAGATACTACAATTAAATGTTGAATCAATTATTAATGAAAAATGAAAACAAACAATATAAAAATTCATACTCACTAAAACAGAAATGCAATATGATAATCACCTTCATGAGCAAAGCTCTGTGTCTACAAACACCAAACTGCAAACTCCCTATAGGAACTATTATGGAGTTTCTTCTCAACTTAATGGAACGTAATGATTTCTCACAGAGGTCAGCAAAAATTATATCCTCCACAGAGTCCAATATTTGTTTGGTGGATGCGCTTATATTGTCACTATTTCCAGTTGAACAGGTGCAAACAAAAGGCTTCTTATAGTTTGAACCAGATACTGCTTTTCGTGTTCTTTCTACAATGGCACTCCTATCACTGCCTCCAAAATGATCAGATACAAAAAGTGCGAGCAATGACGCAATTTGCAGGTTATCAACAAAAATCTGATCCCTATCTTTGGAAGAACGATTCAATTGCTTCAACTGAAATACCAAAGCTTGAGCAGAGAGGAGAATGGCATCTAATACTTCATCTCTTTCCCTAAAGAAATAAACAATTAAGGATATTGCATTGTTAAACCATGCCTTTGTTCAGGATATAGATTATATTTGTATATTCACATGTAGATAATACTACCTGTCAACAAGGATGACTTCCCGTGACTCAAGATTCAAAATTTGCTCATAACTCTGAAGAGGCATAAAGGGCCTATCACGGCCTGCATCATAAAAACCATCTGGTAGACAATCATCAATACTACACAATGAAGTATTACTATATTTATGGGATAGAATTAAGCTGTCCTTGGTTGGTCTCTGGTATTTGCATGGTTTTGGATTATCTAGATAGCTATCAGAATGCCTCTTTGACTTGGGAATAGACTTGGATGTCTCCGAAGATGAACCATTATCCTCAGTACCAGCTCCACCATGTGAAGGGGCTACAGATGCTTCACACTCATAATATTCATTTTCAGCCCCGTCTTCATTATATAATCCCTTTCTAAATCTGACTTTTTCCTCAACATCAATACCTAAATTTTCACTTTCAGCATCCACATTAACTAATTGTTTATCATCATCAAGGCCTAGAACTTCCGATGCACCTTCTGCAGAACTTTTGGAGGTCTTTACATCTTCAATGCAAGGTTTGCTAATCCCATCTGCCTTGACATTCAAACCTTCAGAAAGTCCTTCACCTTTCCACTTCCTGCTGTTGTTTAAACGTTCTTGACGAGCCCTCTGCTGCAAGTAATGCTGCTGCCGCTTCCATCGCTTAGTTGACCTCCGAGGAGAAAAGCATCTGCTATTTGAAGAGGTCTCAGTTAATATGCTTGATGAGGAATGAGAGGCTGCGTCAATTTATCATATAGTCAACATCAAGTAATCTTCAGAATTAATAATTAGGATATCGAAACATGAAAGTATCAGATTCCATATGAGTGCAAGTTGGAAAAGTAACTCCACAGGCCTCACCATTAAAAGAAGCACGCCGCCCATCAGCATTACAAAAAACACTTCCATCATTCTCTGGAATAAAGGCTTCATATACATCCATTTCAACTGAAGAATTGACGAGCTCATCATTGGAGGAGTCTTTACCATTTCCTTCTAAATAGCAGCATATCCATGATGGTATTTGACAATAACTTAGGAGCTTATTGTACTAAAACAATTGTGAAGAAAAAAAAAACAAAACAAACACATTACATCGAGGAAATAAGACGTGCATGAGTAAGAAACTTCAATGAATAATAACAAAACCCTTTTAATCATACTTGAGAAAAAACAATAATGAAATAAGCCATGATCTCCTTTCAGTTCCCAATTTATTTGTCTTCTACATTAACAGCAAACTATGTCCAGGCATCCATTAATTAATAGCCTTTTCTAAGTAGCAACAAAGTGATGATATAAGGGGAGTCCAATCACTACTAAAGATATGCTTTGCGGTATAAGACCACAAAAATCACAAATACAATATGATCAGCAGAATGCCATTTCCCAATCAAAATATATTTGTGAGAATATATTAAATAAAGAAAACAAAAGAAGTCCACAAAATTGATCGATTATCTGAAGAAAAACAAGGATATTGTTCTATCAAATAAAAAAAGAAGAAAGACTGTTTTCAACAAGGGAAAAGAAAGTTGTTTCACTTTAGAGCTGTTTTTGCCAGTGTCATTTTCACAATCCAAGCATCAACCAAGCAAACAGAGCCTTATTTACGATATTCTTTTCTGAATTCATATATTGATGTGAGCAAGAAAAGAGAAAATAATTTCTTTAAAGGGAGAATCAGCCAAGAGGGAAGACTTCTCCCTAAACCATGTGATATCTTAAAAAAAGAGGAAATCAAATCTCTTTTCTTAAAGAACTAATCTTCATGGTTTAAGAAAGATATGGGTGGCCTCTTTGCTCCTTTAATGGCCAGCCTTAATTAACCATATTTACTTCCCCTAATTTCTCCATAATTAATTATTATACTCCCATTTAAAAAGGAAAGATCCTACCTAACTTATTCTAGTCAAAATTTTCTTAATTTTTATAATTTTCTGATTCAAGATAAAATTTAATTTTCTTATAATTTTTACCATTAATTTAAGATATTTATATCTTTATGATGCACACAGCTTACTTTTGTAAATAAATTTTCAATTCATAATTGTAATCACTCAAGTTTGAGAACAATAAAACTATAGTTTTTAACTAATTAAGTTTTGTCAACCTTCTTGTTGAGTGTGAATTGATTTAACTTATTAAGGTTATTCTTGTCGCGTTTTATCAATTTTTTTTCGAATTGATTTCTAACTTATCAATTTCATACTTGTGGTATTTTTAATCAATTCAAACTATTTTAATTATTTTGGTTGACATTCACATCTTGAATATAGGTCAAGTAGAGAAAGTTTGTTGAGGATTTTATGATTCTGAATGCTGATGTTATATGCGGAGTTCTTGATCACATTAGTTGATCTTGAATTCCGTATCATTACTTAAAAAAGAAAAAAGAAAAACAACTAAATTTGTATATTTTCTATAAGTCTATCTTCAACAACTATATTACTTAAGTTGTACGTAAGTGCTTCTTTTTAATAAGTCATAATTGTTCAATTTATGTACATAATATCAAAACTGATGAATAAAAAATCACTATTATTTTGAATTTTTTAAAGCCCATGTTATTAGTACAATCGTTGAATAATAAATTTGGACTATTTGAATGATATTATCTGACAGGAAGTCGCATGCAGTCAGATTTCTAGTTCTCTGTGGAAACAAACCTTCGGGTGAAGATCCTCTGCAGGCTCATCAACGATCAAGACAACCAATTCATGGTCAACCCACTAGGTGAGAATATGAGGTTTGCCTAGATATTACAAAAAGGAATAAGGTAGACATGCCTTCTTATGATGGCAAATTGGACCCCATCATTTTCTAGGACAGGTTGAGGCAACAGAGCTAATCTGATTGGTAATATATCAACTAAATAGAGCTTGTGGGTTTCAACAAAATGAATATCAACATCTATCAATGGGAGGTAATAGAACAAAAACTAAAAGAGAGACACCTTTCCACTTGCTACTGGAAACATCTGGCTACAGAGTTTGTTAAACCTGAGGCAATTGACTGATTGTGTGACTGATTACTTAGCTCAATTCAAGTAGGCAATTCTTAGATGCAAGCTTAGGGAAGAACGAATGTCTCTGTTACTGGATTTATCAATTATTTTAAGTCAAGGGAGAAGTTTCCTTGTATTCTTACTAACTCTTTAGAGGAAGCCAGCCAAAGAGCTCTTAGGATAGAACATTTCAAGTTCCCCACTGCTCATTAGAAAGAAAATAGTTCAATCATAAGTCTATTCCCCAGTTGAATTTCTAAGCAAAGCTTGCATATCTCTAGTGCCTACCTCTTCCACTCATCCAAATGGTCTTTCTAGAGGATATGCTGGTTACCCAGTTGAACATTATCAGTTTTTTTTTCAGATAGAAAAAGAAAAATTATTGATTAAAAAAACGAATTACAAGAGAGACGAGGAGATATCTTTAAGAAAAAAAAAAAAACAGAAAAACAAAACAGAAGTTTCTAAATCCTAGACCAAAAAAATGTAGAGCGCAGACCTACAAGGCTAACAACCAGAACTCCTGTTAACCACCACAAAAACTAAACTAAAAAAGGAGTTCTTCCAGAATAACAAATCAGACCAATCCAAAAGCTCCTGAACAAAAACCAGATAAAAAACTTGCACAAAGACAAAGAAACTACCTTTTCCCTCAATTTTCTCTACATCAACCATAATTTTTTCAATTGCTACTCTCTCAAGTTCATTTTCCACTTTCTTTTTCGTACTGTGGATCTAAGGGGGGAGGGGGTGGGAAACAACCCTTACATATTCACTAAAAGACTAACCAACTTTAACCTAAGGAATCAAGAACAGATTGAGGATCTCTGTTTCCCCTCTAAGGTGGTTGGCTAAGGCTAATTTTCGGGTGGCAAAAAAAAATTAGTGGCATTGAAAACTGCCATTATAGAGTGGATGAGGGAGGAGAGCGTTAGGGTTGAGGAGGGCACTAATAGACTGTTGGAGGAGTTAAGAGGGGTTGGACCGGGAGGACAGGGAAATTGGTCTTTCGAGGGAGAACGGGGAGAGGAGGGGAAATGGTTAGGGCGGAGCTGGCTAATAGGATTCGTATGGAAGAGATCTCATGGAAGCAGAATGCTAGGGAGAAGTGGATTGAGGAAAGGGATCGTAACTCAAAGTATTTCCATAGTCTGGCTAGTCATAGATGACGATGTAATCCTGTTGAGAACTTGCACATCGTTAATAAGCTCGTCTCGCCCAATGATTACTTGAGGGAGGGTGCCATGAACTTTTTTCAACAGCTATATATCGAAGAGTTCCTGCTGCAACCTACATTGGATGAGCTTCATTTCAATCAAATTCGTGAGGCTAGTAGGTGCTTTTTGGAGGAAGAGTTTACTGACGAGGAGATTCTTGATAGCCTTCGGAGCTGCAATAGGGA